AACGAGAATGACAATGTCTAACTTAGAAGCCACTGTAAGAATACAGGGAGAGAGTTCTAGATCCTTTGAGATAAAGGATGGACTCAGACAAGGAGATGCTCTGGCTTGCCTCCTATTTAATATTGTCTTAGAAAAGGCAGTCCGAGATACACGAATTAGGGATGGCGGTACGATTTACAATAGATCGATACAAGTCTTAGCATATTCTGATGACATTGACATAGTAGGGCGTAGCAAGCGAGATGTTGAGCAATATCTCCTAGAATTGGAAACAGCGGCGAAACAGGTCGATCTAGTCATCAACGAAGACAAAACCAAGTACATGTTGGTTACAAAGGATCCGATAGCAAATGAGGAACGAGAAACAGTCTTTGGAAGTCATACCTTTGGACGTTTTGACAACTTCACATACCTTGGGTCGCTATTGATTGCTACCAATAAAACAAGCGAAGAAATCAAAAGACGAATAAATCTTACAAATAGGGCATACTATGGACTCCAAAAGCATTTCCACTCAAGAAACATTCAAAGAAGAACTAAAAATTATTATATACAAAACATTGCTGAGACCGGTCCTCATATACGGAGCAGAAACATGGACTCTAACGCAGAAAGATGAAAGACTTTTGGGAATATTTGAGCGTAAAATACTCAAATTATTTGGAGCTGTAAACGACCAAGGCAGTGGCGCAGAAGATATAATTTTTAAATTGTATCAGCTCTTTGATGAGCCAGATGTCATAACGTTCATTAAAACACAGCGACTTAGATGGGCTGGACACATAATACGAATGCCAGAAAATACCGTTGCTAAAAAGCTAACCACAGGAACACCTGTAGGAAAAAAAGCAAAGGCTGACCGCGAATTAGGTGGTTAGATGGAGTAGAAACCGACTTACGAATATTAAAAATCAGAAGATGGCAACATGTTGCCAAAAACCGAACAGAATGGCGACGAATCTTAGAGCAGGCCAATATCTACAGAGGATTGTCGAGCCAAAGATGATGATGATGATGATGGATGTACGTATTCAATATACATGTGCATAATCATGGATCATCATATGTATATTCCTTCAAAGAATCGCATGTAAAAAGGGAGCTGGTAGTGTTGCTTCATTCATCTTTGACTGTATTTACAATAAATTAGCAGATTATCCTAATACCAAGCATATTGTTCTTATATCAGATGCAGCTGTTTTGTTATAGTTTTGTTCTTGGATATTAAAAGTATACAGAGTCGAAGTGACACATAGTTATCATGTTCGTGGACACTACTTTAGTCAGTGAAATTTGGGGATATACGACAGGCCTTAAAAAGAGTTAAAGATGTCGAGGAACCCAAAGTCTACCTAGAAAAAATCGTACAGTGCCGACAAATTCCTCCTTTCTGCCTCAAACATGACTCCTCTATAATATATGACTGGGATGCAGCACGTCTTTCTTATTTTTTGAAGAAACCTGTGAGTAAATATTGTGAGTTTAAAATACAACAGTACCGCATGCTGAAGTATAAACCTTGTGGAACACTGGCTGCTTCTAAACGTATACCCATTTTAAATACGCAAAAACGTTGCCACTTGACCTTACTTACCTTTGCCTCGGGTTTCTATTAATCAGTCTAAAATAAAAGACGTGAGAGACTTGTTTTAGTACTTAAGAGAAGAAAGTAAAAACTTCTACAAACTTTGAAATCGTTTTCAAAAAAGATTATTTAAAACATTAAAATTTTTTGTGTGTATAACCGCCAAAGGCTTGACGAGGTTATGAATCTCATTTCACGGAAACTACAATAAAACATTTGTTTTTAATTTTTATATTCAAAATTTACATTGGCTCACAAAGTTCCCATAAACGAACACAAACAATTTAGACAATATTTTGAAAGTAAACAAAGTGTACAATTTTGTTCAAACTGTTTATTTTTAAAACTTACATTGTTTTCAGCTAATATCAGAAAGTAAAATTGCACATGGTGTTTAAAATAATCCATCATTACTTATAATTTACACCTAATCACAGGAATAATGATCTAATACTAATAAGTCCCGGACTGCCCGCGGGACTTTTTTAGCATCTATCCATAAATTTTGTGCTGAAAAAAATGTTGAACTTTGACGTACAAATTATGCAGCTATTGTATTAAGCCGCACAAGCGTGAAATTTTTATTTGGTCCACCAGTTGAGTCGCAGAAAATGTGAAGATGACGAACTTCTGTTGGTAGTTCATTCAAAATAAGGAAGAAGAAAAATGGAGATACCTCGTCTGATCCTTTTCTTGACACATATTCAGGATAAGTAAAAAACAGGATTTTCCTGAAAATAGTATGTGAATATGGAACGAAAACGAAAGTTGTCTCTTATAATGAACAACATTACTGCTGATGTTGCATAATAAAATGCTTTTCTGGTACTCCATGACGATTGATTCATATTCAAAAGCTCTCCTAGTTTTTATTCGGGCAGCTCGTTGTCTGTCATAGACACATAGACGTATGCACGAGTTTTGTGCAATTTATTTCCCTAGATAGAGCGCTTCTATCTGTGCTGCATCGTTAACAAAATGAAGAGTCTCAATTTTTGCATTAAACTCATCACTTCCTAAAGGTATCGGCTCTAGGCTAGCCAAATGAAATGTTAAAATTGCTATTAAAAATATTTAATTATTTTGTGGAGACGGACTTTAAAGCGACTGAAATGGATGAACAACGAATACCAAAAGAAATATTAAAAACGCACCAGAAGGAAAGAGAAAAAGAGGTAGACCGAGAAAAAGTTGGAGCGAAGGAATAAATAAAATAAAGAACTGAGTGAGATGTCCATAGAAGAAGATCTGTAGAACAACCGGACAAAGGGGCGATTGGAAGTCGGAAAACGGCGGAGAACGTTATACATCGACAAGTAGTAGTAGTAGTAGTAAATCAGAAGAATGCTTTCCCCTTTTGTCGATAGGAGCAATTCCAAAAGTTTTCAGTGAGGTTTGAATATGGACCAACTAGATCTAGTGATGCCATGCATTGCAATAAAGGCACTATTGCAGACAGATATTTTTTTCCTTTTCACTCGTAGTGTGTAGCGGTAGCTAGCATCATGACGTTGTTCTCTATCGATTTGTAGTGCAATTAAAAGTTTTAAGCATCTATTGATTCTAGTTGATTTAACGCGTTAAGTATGTCTCTCTCTATGCCTCTCTTGAGCAGTAGTGTTTTCAAAACACTTCAATCTTTTACACTTACAATCATCCCCTAATTCGTGAGACTGCAACATCAATTTTTTCATTAGATACATCTGTAGTTCGGCCAATTTTCTTTCGTTTCTTTGTTTTTTTTTAACAAGTCGTCACACAAATATTCTTTACTCGAACTCATCTTGATATATTATACTGTTAACACAAGGGGGTTGACCGTCCTTGCTAGGCTAATAGTTGGACATTTACCTGAATGTATACCTGAAATTCTTATAAAATGGACATCGCTTGTTTTTTACCCTTACCTTTCAAATGATCAGTAACGATTAAAACTAGTATTATCCTTGAAGAATTGATTATCATTTGAAGAGAATCGAAAAGAATATCGCAGTTGATATTTGAGGAATTAACAAATATATTAGTTCTAGGTATACATGTATAAAATAAAAAAGGATAGCGTAAAGCCTATAAGTATCTAAAAAAAATTACATAATAGATCAGTCAATTCACAGTCAGAATTTTAAAGAATTAAAAATGAAAAATCCTCTCTGCGATAAACGCCAAGTCACTTGAAGCAATGTGAGCTTCTCTGATCCGTTTTTCGCAGGATCACTTCGCATTTTCTTTATTTTCTTCCTTGACAGGTTAGTGTGTGCTTTCGCACGATTGGTAATTAAACTTTATTCCTTTCAATTTGCTATTTTTGTTCTCCAGCTAGGAATCTTCATTCTGTTGATATCTTCTTTGGCCTGATCTTCCCATCTGCACTTTGGTCTCCGTGTAGGCCTTGTAGTTGTGAGTATTATTTCGTTGAGCTTGCATTCTTATTATTTTGATTTTTAATTTTGCTATTACTAATAACTGTTCTCAATCAGCGTTTGCTCCTCTGTACGATCTGACATTTTGTTATCTTTTCTTCGGCAGAAAGAAGGCGTGTTATTTGATACTGTTTTTTTATGTCAGAATTTGTATTGACAATGTGTGTGTTTGTCGCCGAAGCTAAGCTTCATAGTCTTGTTCCCTTTTCATTCATTTGTTCGTGAATTGTTTCTTTCCATGCAACTTCCCTATTATTCCCCTCTTTTCTAAACTTAGCATATTATTATCAGAACGTCATGTTATCAGTGTTGGCTTGTGAAATCCATAACTCTGTTTCTTAGTTTTTTACAGTTCATAAATACAGTTCCATTTTTTTACCTGCTTATATTCTCCGGAATAATGTAGTATGAAGTTTTCCTTTTCTATTTTACCTTCAATTTCCATCTTATTTCCTGAGTTACTAAGATATCTAGTTCACATTTTCTCATCTGTTGGGCTAACTATTGCAATTTTCTCACTATTAGCATGTATTTTATATTCCAAGTTCCTATTTCTATTTTAACTTTTTTTCTTGTTGTTTGTTTTTTACTTTTATTAGGTATGCTTCAAATTTCAGTTTTCCCAGTTGCTTTTTCTATACTTCTATTTCCCTAGTTATTACTGGTCTCTTTCTTCTACATCAATCCTTTCTTTATGTATCAGTTTTATGGAGCGTTGAGGCTTTTTTGTTTCATTTCCAAGCTGTACATTTCTCAATTTCTCCCAGTATATGGATTTTGAAAGGTAATTAACGATAATGTCAGAAGGGGCGTATCCCCGAAGATGGTAGAAGAGTAACTACCTGCAATCCACGCTTATTCGATAAACTATAATTTAAGTGGTCAATCAACAAAACCAACTCATATTACTAAATGCGAAATATCGTAATAAATAATATAGCAATATTTGTTTCACCTTATTTTACGTTAATAAAATGTATTTTTTTTTTTTTTAGAAAAAACTGCTGAGCCAGAGAAGAAGCTTTTAGTCAATTTAAAAGACGTACCATCAACATCAAAAGAAACCAACTTTGTGAAGCCAGTAGAAACTAAAGTCAACGGTGTATCGTCGTCTAACCCGTTTGATAGAAATAAAAGTAATATTCCAAAATTGGATTTAGCCACTAATGCTGCTAATGCTTCGAAAATAGATCAAAATGGTTTAACCGACTTGGATCATACACCAAAAATAGTAAACGTAATACCCAAAATAACAGAAATAATAACGAAAATCCCTAATGCGTCTGGTTTACCTAAAAAAGAGATTGCAGACAAATCAAAAATATTGAAAAAAGAAACTTCCCCACCAAAAATAGAAGTCAAGCTAACACAAAAACCTCCAATACCAACAGATGTCCTAAAAGTCGAAATAAAGACCTCACAAATACCAGTAACAGTTGTAGAAACTGTAAAAGTGGAAGTAAAGACAAGAGAAACACCTACAACTACTAAAATTGTTAGTTCCGTTTATAAATCTGAGGCTTCTGTGGAAGAGAAGCGAATCGACACTAGTGTTGCTGCAAAATCTCAAGCCTCCAATGTTTTAATAAAACCAAAAACACCACCGGCGAATTTGGATCCCAATTTAGAAGTAAAACCAATAGTTCAGCACGTTTTTCCAACAATTCAAAATTCCTATCAACCCCAACTTAATTTAGATGACTTAAAAAAAGCAGTACAACCGCCACCACATAAGATAGATTTACCACCACCTTCTTCTTCTTCTTCTTCAGTATCCGGAACTGAACAAAAAAATAAACTTTTACCTGAGTCTACACCAGGAACTTCTAATACTCCTCCTAAAGCAAAAGAAGAGGAAGATTTTTCAGATTACGAATCAAAAACATTAAAGCCTGTTAAAGAATGGGAATGTCATTTATGTACATTATTAAATCCCTTAACAAGTAACATTTGCGCTGTATGTTCGACGATCAGACTGCGCACAAAAACAGAACCAGCAGAAGAAAAGAAGCAAGAAGAAAAGAAGGTTAAAATACAGCCGGTTACATTGGAAGAAGAAAAAACGGAGCAACGTATAGAAGACAATCAACCCCAAACGTATATGCAATTGCTGAATTTAGACAATAGGGATTTAATAGAGAATACTGAAACATTTACTTGTTTAGTTTGTTTCATTGACATAGCCCCCAGAGAAGGAGTAACGTTAAGAGAGTGTTTACACCAGTTTTGCAAGCCATGTTTATCTCAAACAGTAGAGTTTTCCGATGAAGCTGAAGTTAAATGTCCATACAGGGACGATAACTACGCCTGCAACCTGAGTCTTCAAGATAGAGAGATTAAAGCATTAGTCAGTACGGCTGTGTATGATCAACATCTGGCAAAGTCGGTAGCTCAAGCAGAAAACCGGATTGACAATTCGTTTCACTGTAAGACTCCTGATTGTAAAGGATGGTGTGTTTATGAAGATAATGTTAACGAATTCAAATGTCCAGTATGCAAGAGAACTAACTGTTTAACCTGCCAGGTGAGTAATCCATTATAATTTATAATACTCATAATATATTCAATAATGACTATTATATTGAATAACTAGTAGTTGAATGAGTATTATATTTGCTGTATTCCAATGGTCTGATATGCATATTAATGTTAGGCTGTTCATAGATATACCTGTTAAGATTTTCCAGGTTTTTTGCCAGCGTATTTAAGCAGTTCCACTGTCGAACCATATATTTCACATGCTTTACCGCTTTTCATCTTTGTGATTGTCGATTCTATTTCTTCCGGGAGGACTTTTGGTACGTCTTTTTGGTCATTGGTTGCTTCTTCGGCTTTGTTTTAGCATTATTTTTATTTAATTAGACAGTGTCGTGGTCATTTTCTTATTGCGGGACTCCAAGGATGATTTCAATTAATTGAGAACTGTCGATTTGGTCGTTGGGTGTAGGGTTGTAGGGTTGAGTTATAGATGTAGCACCTTTTATCGGAACGACCACATCGAGCGTCATAGACGGGAGATGGTTCTTGATAACTGGTCCTCATAAGGCAACTAACTCTCTAACTCTCACTTATGGCTCCACGTGTCACACCCCGGGCAACTGCATTGGTCTGCAGGCTAAACTAAGTGAGGGTAGCCAGATATGGCGAAAATTTCACCGAGCGATTGCCGGTATAAGCAATCCCACACTTACTGACCAACGGCTTCGGGCGGATGAGTTGCTAAGTGTTAGGGCACTTTTTTGTCCTGAGACCGAGAAATCGATCTCGAAGGCGGACGAACCCTACAGAATGGTCAACGGCATAAGGATGCAGAAGGCAGCGGGGAACCACTGCATTAAAGACTCATAGAGTACCCCTAGTAGTAATCATCATGGTAGACATGCAAAGGAAAAGTACTGATTATGGACATCGGATACCAAGATCCGGCAGAGAAAGAGAAATAGATAAGTACAAGGCTTTCTCGGTCGTATACCAGCGAAACCCTTGTAAAAAGAAAAAGACAACCATAAAAATTGCTACATGGAATGTAAGGAGCTTATTCTCTTCGGGAAAATTAGATAACGTCGTGTTGGAAATGGATCGTTTGGGTATAGACATATTAGGCATGAGCGATACACAATGGCCAGGAAACGGCAAATGTCCCACAAATAATCATGGTATGTTTTATTATGCCGGAAGTGACACCAAAACCCATCGATACGGAGTAGGAGTCATCATCTCAAAAAAATGGAAAGATGCTGTAGTAAACTTTACTCCATTTTCAGAGCGCGTGATGTTAATACAATTAAAAGATAAGAAGAACATGATAAACATCATACAAGTATACGCTCCTACAGCAGACAAAGACGAAGAGGAAATAGAACAATTCTATAATATCTTAGAAGAGGTGATGAGAACAACAAAGAGACAACACATTAACATAATAATGGGCGATCTGAACGCCAAGGTAGGTCAGGGTAAAGTTGGAGAAAATGTCGGTGAATATGGCTTAGGTAATAGAAATGAAAGGGGTGATCGTTTAGTTCAGTTTTGTCAAAGCGAAGATTTAATAATAACTAATACATTCTTTAAACTACCCCCAAGGCGACTATATACGTGGACGTCACCTCAACATACACAAGAAAAAGTGGTCAGAAACCAAATAGATTACATATTGGTGACAAAAAGATACCGTAATGCCGTAAAATCTACTAAAACTTTCCCTGGAGCTGATATCGGTTCGGATCATAATCCAGTAGTATCTGTGATAGAAGCTAGACCAAAGAAAATAAGAAAAGCCATCATTCCAGCATTAGACTTAAGCCAGCTTAAAAATGAACATCTACGTCAAACAGTGCGAGAAGAAATAAACACCAGCCTCAGTGTAGCAGAAAGCCAAATCCGCAGAACAGACAACATAGATGAAAAACTTAAGTATATAAATACTATAATAAGAACTACGGGAAAGAAACACCTAACCAAATCTGCAAAGAAACATAAGGTGTGGATGACACCAGACATTCTAGAACTAATGGATGAAAGACGTAAAATGAAGAATAATGCAGAAAAATACAAAGAGGTTGATAAGAACATAAAGCAAAGAATAAGAAATGCCAAAGAATCATGGATTACAGAACAATATGTAGAAATGGAAAACTATGAAAGAAAGTATGACACGTTCAATATACATAAAAAAGTAAGAGAAATTACAGGAACCCAAAGAAGACATCAAATAAGTTTGCTTAAGAACAAAGATGGAAAGATTATTATAGATTTTACAGAGAAAATTAATAGATGGAGTGAATACATAAGAGAATTATTTGAGGACAACAGAAATAACATTGTTCTGATATATGGCGAAACGGGACCTGAAATTCTAAAATGTGAAGTAGAAATGGCACTTAAAAATTCCAAAACTGGGAAGGCAAATGGACCAGATGAGGTTCCTACCGAATTGCTAAAGCTCTTGAATAATGAATCAATAGGTATAATATTGCACTTATTTAATACAATATACAATACTGGCATTATACCTCAAGAGTGGCTGTTGTCTACATTCGTTACACTGCCAAAGAAATCTAATGCTAAAGAATGTTCAGAACATCGAACAATATCTTTAATGAGCCACCTACTAAAGATATTTCTAAAAATCATCCACAACCGAGTTTATCAAAAGTTGGAGTCAGATATTAGTAATACACAGATGGGGTTCAGAAAAGGGCTTGATGCTCGAGAAGCTCTCTTCGGTTTGAATGTTCTCACACAAAGATGCCTAGACGTTAATCAGGAGGTACATACGTGTTTTATCGATTTTGAAAAAGCGTTTGACAGAGTACGCCATGATAAGCTTAGAGAGATTCTTGAAAGGAAGGACATAGATAATAAAGATCTGCGAATCAGAATGTCAGAAATCTAACATCAAAATAGAAATTGAAACATCACAAGCAATAGAAATACGTAGAGGAGTACGACAGGGTTGCATTTTGTCACCTCTGTTATTTAATGTATATAGTGAAAGCATCTGTCAGGAAGCCCTTTTACAAGCAAACGGAGGAATCGTAATTAATGGAGAGATTGTAAATAATATTCGATACGCGGACGACACTGTACTAGTTGCAAGAACAGTAGAAGAATTACAAAGATTACTTACAGACATAAATATTGCTTGCAACAATTATGGTATAAATATCAATATTAAAAAAACCAAGTATATGGTCTTCAGTAAAAACATGACACAACCAGCGTATATTAGTATAAACGGCCCTCAAGTTGAAAAAGTATCAAGTTACAAATACTTGGGAACTTTAATAAACGAAACTGGAGACCAAAACAGTGAAATAAAAAGACGTATCGAAATTGCCAGGGCCACCTTCATAAAGATGAGAAAATTCTTCTGCAACAGAAATATAAGCATCCCTCTACGATTAAGAATGCTGAGAGGCTATGTATTTAACACGCTATTATACGGTGTAGAGGCCTGGACTTTCAAACATAAACAACATGAAAAATATTGAAAGTTTCGAGATGTGGTGCTACCGTCGAATGCTGAAGATTAGTTGGGTTGAAAGAATAACAAACTGTGAAGTAATACGAAGAATAGGAAAAGACCCAGAGATTTTGTTAACGCTAAAGCGAAGAAAACTCGAATATTTTGGTCACCTGATGAGAGGACATAAATGCGCATTACTTCAAAATATAATGCAGGGAAAAATAGAAGGAAAACGGAATCCAGGCCGTAGAAGAATGTCATGGTTGCGGAATTTGAGAGAGTGGTTTGGCTGCACCACTAATGAAGTCTTTAGGTCAGCCGTAAACAAGGTCAGAATAGCCTTGATGATTTCCTGTCTCCGATAGGAGTGGCACAAAAAGAAGAAGAAGATTTGGTCGTGGAATTTTTCATCGATTGTCCTTTGGTACTGAGTTTTCTTTTAGATTGTTGATATTTATATCGGTTACTGTTGGTTTTGCGATTAACTTTATTCTTTCTAGTTTTTGATCTAGAATAATTCTTTCTCTGGTTAGTCTATGATCGCTACCTATTTGGAATTTATTGATTACACTGGCATCTTTTATTGTAGCAATATTGTTGGTTATAATAAAGTTTATTTTGTTCTTGTTGGTTCCATTTAGTTCTAACTAAGTAAATTTTCAGTTCGAGTTTTTTTTTAAGAATGTATATGAAATGGACATATTTTGGTAATATGCAAACTGAACCAGTTTTTGTCCCCTTTTATTTCTCTTACCGCCTCCATACTTTCCCATGACTTGTTCCTTGCCGTTTCTCTTTCCCACTTCGGAATTAAAGTCCCCAATTAGATACTTAAAGTGACTTTTACTTTTATGTTATGCTTCAGTTATGTCATTGTAGAGTTCCTCTATTTCTTTGTCAGTGTGGGTAATTCTTGTATCTCCGATAGTTGTATCGTTAACTCGATTCGAATACTCTTCGTTACCATTTCTTGTTAATTAGGAATCCAATACCGCTTGTTTTGTTCATTGATGTTCTTCGGTAGTAGATTGTGTTCCCTGATGCTAATTCCAATCCTCCTCCTCAGTCCTAATCCCTTTTGGGATGTACTGATACCATCAGGCCATTACAGTTTTTTCACGATTTTCCTCCATTCTTCCCTGTCCTGGGCTAGTTGTTCGGCTTCATGTAACCCTTGGTTAATCAATATTTTTGATTGATCTACACAACGACTTAGAGATCTTTTAGGTTTCTTAGAGTCTCAAGGTCTCTTTCCTTCAACTCTACCCTCGACTATCAGTTTTTTTTATCGTACCAGTTCTTGCCTGGATATTCCCTGGATAGATATCGAACTTTGTTATATAGCTCATAGGATTCATACCAGTTTGCATGTCTCTCTAGTTCTTCGCATTCTTCATTTATAAAATATGTTTATTTTTATCATCCCTACATGCTCTTTTAATTTCTCTATTTAACCTTGCTAATTCGTTTTTGTTACTGTCGTTTTGATATATGAGAGATTTGATTCTCCTTCGCTCTTTAAGAAGTTGCAGCGTTCTGTCTGTCATCCAGTGTTTTCTTTTGATGATCTTTTTTCGGTTCTGGTTCTTTCTACAAAGGTTTCTATGCCATTTCTGAAACCTTTCCACATTTCTTCTGGGTTGTCTTGTGTGTTGAACATAATACTAGTTTCCTTTAATGCATCCCTAAATGTTTTCCGATTTGAAATCTCCAGCCTGTTTTGATTTTGCCTGGTTGCTCACAAACACACGCCCGGTAGCCCATTAGATACTAGTTGGCCTGGAACCAACTGAGTGCCGATCGCTAAGCATATCTAATTGATTCGATATATTCATGATGGTGTAGTCACGAGAATATAATCAGGTGGTTTCCCATTGCCTGCCCGATCGCAGTATCACGGCAGGTCGAATCATTAGTGATATTCGCCAGTGAGTATCTGACATTAAGCCAACAGTAGCGCCTGTCATTCCGCTATAGCCTTAATGAAGTAATGTCATAGCTGCTGCCCTATGCCATGTCCTCAGTTGGTCCGCGGGTGCTTATTTGGTAAAACCTTATTCACACCTATCCTACATATCTGTAGGACATTTCCCTACCAGCCAGTGAAACGCGCCGTGTCGGGGTTAAGGACTCCCCACCCGTTCGTCTTCCGCGAAGTACATAAGAGTCACTACTTAATTCAGAACTCCTCTTCCACGCAAGCTGGGACGAACACGGTTAATTCCAATAGCTCTTTATTTTTCCGTCTTACCGTTACAGTACGATACAGTTAGTTCTTCAAATCTGGATTGGTTTAATAGCGAGCGCAGATATAGGTCCTATATAAAGCGTTGATATGTTCCAAGTTCAGAGCTATTTGAGCCCACGAAGATTGAGGGCTATGATGAAAGCACCCATGAATTGGGTGTGTCTTCCATCTTTCATATTAGGCGTTGTGAGGCGTGTCTTACCAAGCTACCTCAGCTGGTTAGCTGGTGTGTTCCAGTTTTTAGTCACCAAAGCCAGCCTTTCTCCTTCCTTTGTCTACTATATAATATACTCACATAGTACGTCATAAATTTGCCTAGGGATTACGCAACATATGTCTTCATGGACGTAGGAGGTAGAATTCGTTGGCGGAGCTGGCTGACTTTTTAGATCAGCTGTGGTTTATTTTTTACTATCACTTAGAAATTTACTGGAAATTTTAATTGTTTAATTTAATTTTAATTGCCAGCAAAATAACAACCCTCTTACCTACTTACACCAATATTTAATTAGTTAATTAATATAGAATAATTACGTATATACATTTTTTTAATTTTAGGCAATCCATATGGGAATCAACTGCCGCCAATTCCAAGAGAGAATAAAAGACGACGCTAATCTAGACGAGGATGGCAAGAAGACCAAAGCTATGTTGGAAGAAATGGTACAGAAAGGAGAAGCAATAGAGTGTCCTACATGTAGAGTGATTTTAATGAAAAAGTGGGGGTGCGACTGGTTGAGGTGCTCCATGTGTAAAACTGAAATTTGTTGGGTAACTAGGGGGCCACGGTGGGGGCCAATGGGTAAAGGTGATACCTCTGGAGGTTGTCAGTGTGGCGTGAATGGAGTCAAGTGCCATCCGAAATGCAATTACTGCCATTAGTATAATTTATATTGTTTGTTTTAAGCTGTTTAAATTACACAATTTTTCACACGAAAGTCCCACAGGAAAAATTGCAATATCGAATTTTTTTTTTTGGCGTTTATAGATTTCACAAAAAACTTTCAAAAATATTTTTTGAATTTGTATTGTACAATAACAAAAAAATAAAATTAACAACTTATTATATAAAATTAGACCATAACACGGTGGTCCTTATTAAACACCTATATTGGGATCAATTGGGTCGATTAAAATAGACAATCGTATGACAGCAGAAATGTCAATAAAAAGAGGAGTTCGCCAGCGCTGTGTACTTTCTCCACTATTGTTTAATACATATTCCGAAAAGATATCCTGTGGAGAAGGGGAAGCAAGGCTAGGTCTAATTATGGGTTACGCACAGGGAACTATTTCGAATAAACGGGACTTTATCTTTTTATAAACTCGATATTTGGCTAGAGAAAATACATCAGTATGTAACGTGAATGGGTTTAGGAAATGTGTGATTCCTAAAATGACAAAGGGCAAAGCATTCATTGAAAACGTTCTTGGAATTGAAGCCTTAAGTACACAATGCCAAGCTACTTTCAGTAATTAATAAATCGAGACATGGCGTGTCCCGTGGATTTGTTAGTTAAGTGGAGGATACTTTGGACATGCTTCAGTATTGATAACCAGTCTAGATTTATTACGTAGAACAATAGAGTCTTTTTTCATCGATCTTTCTTCTATATCACTAAACTCTGGTCAGAATTTCTATTCAGTTTTTTTATTTGATATATCTTTCTAGTCTAACTGTACAATATATGAAAAATATACACGATCGAGTAGTTATATTTAAAAATTTCGATAAATTTGCACAATTGTAGAAAAAAAATAAGAACCAGCTGATACGCATTGTACTTCAATTTAAAATCAAAAATTGTGTAATTCTAAATGGTATAATTTAGTAAAATATATTATTTCAATACGATTTACATATTATATATTTTACGTTTTGACTCAATTCTTGTTTTTGCATATGCTTTCAATATATAGTCTGCCAATTCCTATATTTTAACGATAAAACAAAATTGTTCAGACACGTCGATTTTTAATATTTCCTAATACCTTACGGTATCAAAGTTTCGGTATTTCGATGAAACACCTTCAGATGACAGCTACGCCCTCATTTTTTTATTATAAAATTATGAGGCAACAAATTATTATGAAACGTTATTATCAATATTATATAAAGCGTTTCTAATTCTAACTTTTATGCCATTCAATGTTGTTGGAGGTTCACGATACACCAGATTTTTAATATAGCCTCTGAAGAAGAAGTCACTTTACTTAATTCCGGTGATCTAGTTTGTCAATAAACGGTTCTTCTCTTTATATCCATCTGTTAGAAAACTGCTCATTCAATTCACCTGAGTGCGTTATGATGAGAAGGACCTCCTTCATGTAAATACCATAATTGTTGATGGATGTTGAGTGGCACGTTTTCAAGTAAAATAAGTAATTATGATTTACTAAAAAGACTAATCAACTTCGGCGTTTACTGTTTTCTCAAAGAAGAAAGCGTCTATTAGATAATTACCTAAAATATCATCCCAATCCCAAACGTTTAAGGACCACCTAGTTTCGTTCTTTGTAATTATTTAGAATGGATTTGTTGTAGAGTAATACTGGAAGTTATGCCAATTGACACATCCGTTTTTGTGAAACGTTGCTTCATCTCTGAATAAAACAAAATCAAAAAATGTTTGAAAAATATTTTCTATTATGCCCATTCACACAAAGCCACCCTTCATTCAAAATCATTCGCAGACAATTCTTATCGTCACTGGTGTGGTATGGGAGCATGTGGTGGAATTTTCAATTTGTAAAACATACCTTCATAGCAACCTTGATTTTTTTGGTATATTTTAATTGTACACATTTAAAAAGACTTCCTCTCAGTGTCTGATATTAGGTAAAGATTTTGGAAAATTGATTATATTCAGAAAATAAAATAACTCGATATCCGGGTTCTGGGAAAGAGCCCTAAAATGGAGAGAAAAAATTTATGTATTGATCGCCAAATGCAAAAATACTTTGAGTTCTGAACGCTATTTTTTTGTTATCTCTATGTTAAACATTATTTAAATTTTTGTAAAGATTTGAACTTTCTAAAGGGAAACGTTATTTGTCTTTTGTTTAAATGAAGATGTAGACACTTATATGATATTACATATTGTGATTATTTACTAGTGAATAATTTAGTATCTATATTAAGTTTCTCACTCACACATCAAGTGTTCACAAAATACAATGAGTTAGTATGTAATTAAATAAAATGTTTTCATTAAGTATTTGTTTATTATTAGTGTTCCCAATGGAAAGGACAAGGACACTTCCGAACGGCAGATCATGGTGTATACATAATATCCAAAATGTAGGAAACTATGGGTTAGGTATTAGAAACAGCCGAGGCGAACGTTTAATAGATTTTGCAACCGAAAATAGCTTGGCCATTGTAAACAATGTTCAAACATCATGCCCGTCGTTTATCAACGTGGATCAGTTCAAATGGAGAATACAAGAACCAAATCGACTACATATTGATTAGAAACAATGGAAGACATGTTTTACAAATGTAAAAACTAGACCAAGAGCTGAATGTGGATTCCATCATATAATTGTTATGTGCTTGCTTCAAGATAAAGCTTAAAAGAACAATGCCGCACCAAAATCCAAACAGGCTGGAGATTTCAAATCCGAAAGCATTTAGAGATGCATTAAAAGAAACTAGTATGTTAAACACACAAGAAAACGCAGAAGAATTGTGGAAAGGTTTCAGAAATGCAATAGAAACCTCTGTAGAAAGAACCAGAGCCGAACAAAAATATCATCAAGAGAAAATACTGGATGACAGACAAAATGCTGCAACTTCCCGTGAAGGAGAATCTAATCTCTCATATCGTCCCTACCATTTCCAAGTATCGAATGTGAAAAGTAGTACATTTCAGGAGAACAAGAAAACTCTTTTTTAGAGAATCCTAAATTAGCGCATTGACAAATGGAAAAAAAATTTATATTTTTTATATTTAATGTTTAATCCTTGTTAGATTGTTAAAGAATTAAACTGTTTACTGTTTTTTTTTCTTTCAAAAAAATCACATTCGATAGTTTGCTTTTTGTGTTAATCAACGATTGTTTTGGTACAATGTCTCAAAATTGCGAACGTGGCATTTTCGTCAGTTTATATTGGTAGAATTTTAACACATTCATTTGGTGCAATGTTTCAAAATTGCGAATGTGGCATTTTTGACAGTTTCATATCGGTTCAATGTTAACACATTTATATTCTTAATTAAAAATAAGGAATATTAAAATAATTTTAATGTTCTTACAAAGTTTATTAAATGATTTAATTAAAAATTAAAGTTGTAGGATAAAATGGAAAAATTGTTTAAAAAAATTGTTAAAATTATTTTAATGAAAGTATGTATTGCTAGAAAATTGATGTAACTAAAACGTAAAAAACATTAATTATGGAACTTCACGTCCTGTAGATACCTCACGTACTCAGTCATGACCCTCAATTGCTATCGTTGTCTATAGTTGCGTCAGGTTCTTGAAGACAATCTCTGGCTGTACTAGATGTTGGTAAAGATTGGTAATATTGGTGGTATGGCCTAGGTAATAAGTTTTGTTCACAAATACTTTTAGACTATTTTGTTTGTCTCTTTCTTGTTTGGTTTCAAGAGATAAAAAGTTTCCATAAATTCTAGTCTTCATAAAAATTTATTTTCATTTTGCCGATACTGGTACCATATACCACCACTATATTTAAAATTAGTATTTCCATTACTTGTTTGCTCTTCATCTTTTACTTCATTTTATTTTTCATATTGATTTTTTTTCTTCTTTGGTTTTAATTTATTTTTTAGTGCAAATGCTACCTCTCTTTGGTTGAAATCTAAGAAGTCGTTATGAAGTAGGTATGTCACTTCAAACGGGCATGGTTTAGTGCGTGCAAGTCTTATGATTTGTGCCCATCCTTCAAGGGTGTACCTATACAGGGGAATTTTTTCAGTTAGATTCAATTTTTGAATAGACAAAATCACAATCCATTTCTGAGTGACCTGGTACAAAAAACACATGGTCAATTGTTTTTAAATTTGGGTGACAATTAACAACATACTGACACATTGCAGAAAAAGATAAGTTTTTCTGTTGTCCTTTGCAATTGTCGGACGTGTTCAATATGAGGGTAAGACATGATGTATTTAAATATGCATGTAGCAATTTCAGTACCCCCCGCGTTTTCGCTCGGTTTCATCCTATATGAAACACTGGACGCCCCCCTTCTATTAAATAATAAATGGCCAAATTATAAAAAGTTTTCTCACATAAACACAAGGTCCTGCAGCTCCTTTAGGCGTTGACAAAACAAATTGAAGATCGAAATTAAATGCTAATATTTTCCTATTCTCCAAAGCGGACTGTTTATCTTCATCTTTTTTTTCTCGTTGCATCTTTTCTTTCGAGGTGTTTCTGATGAAAAGGAGAATTACACTATGTGGACGACGTCCCAAAGACAACATTCTTTAATGTTTTTTTTTTTAATAATTCTTGTTTTGACAAAATCACAGTTTCTGGTTTAGCTATACCCAGTTAACTGAATATTCAGATAATCAGAAACCGATAGAAACAAAATGATAAAGTGCCTCGCCGAAAGAACTTCTTAGAAGCAATATTTCACACAATTGTGAACACATGCATTTTGTTCTTGTCAACAATATTTAGTATTTTTCGACAGTTTGCAGATTATAATTGAATAACTGTAACAATTACAACACTGAAAAATGTGACACATTCGTCATTTTGCGTTGTACAAATATGCTTTTAGTTACATTTATACAAAACACAAGTATCGAATATTTCATTTTCGTCAGTTTGCAGTATATTTCGATATTTTGACCAAAACAAAATGACAAAATGGTATCCCCATATTCGATGGTTTAAAACAAAATTTTTCCGCGTTCCTTATCAAGCTACAATTTCCATATTTTGTTACAAGGTGTATCACGTCTAATGCAAGGACAAGGTATCGAATCTGAAAAACCCGACAGTTGGAAATGGTAGGGACGATATATCAGAACGACAGCAACAAAAACGAATTAGCTAGATTAAATAGGGAAATTGAAAGAGCATGTAGGGATGATAAAAATAAACATATAAATGAAGAATGCGAAAAACTAGAGAGATATACAAACCGGTATGAATCCCATGTGCTATATAACAAAGTCTGATATCTATCCAGGGAATTTAAACCAATCACACAAACAATAATGGATTAAAACCAACATATTATAAATGACGAGAAAGGGATTGCGGAGGTATAGAGAAAATATTGTCAAAGTCTATATGCAAATCATTCCCAGAATGCAAATCACAACAAGTTCACTGCAGAGAGAGAACCAAACATTGTAATTTATGTCAAAAAATGTATGTTGATGGATAAATGGTTGGCAACACAAGGGGAAGAAAAATCCTTTCCCCTTTCTTATTTAATTATATTGCAAGATAGTAGCTTTTTATTACTTAAATGTCCAATGGCCAATTGGGTGTCTATTTCTTCTTGTTGCCTGTGGAATGTTTATTTTTAATCCAATCTTCTACTTTATTCATATGAACACTTGAAGAATAGCAGAATTGAAAACTTTGATAACCATATATTTCATGAAAATCAATACAGACAACTAATCATTCTGCAAATTTTGAAGATTGCACATGTCTTTTAGTCAGGTAACCGATCAGTCATTCAAAACTTATTTCCAAAAATTTAACAGTAATTTCTGAATCTACTCCTCTACTCCCGTCTTCAAAAATTTGAAACAAAAACTAACAGTGATACAAAAGATTAAATAAAGATATATTTTTCGTTCTATATTAACAAAAGTTGTATTCTGTATTCAAGTCAAAATTAAAAATACAATGGTATTATGATCATATTAATCTTATACATGCAAAACTCACTTAACCCAAAACTGTGTAAATTTACACAAAAAAAGAGTTGACTTAATCACTAATTAATTAAAAAGGTCTTGGAGGTCCAGGTGGTCCACCTCTCATCATACCAGGTGGTGGTCCCCTCATTCCCATTGGTGGTGGTCCTCCACGTCCCATTCCCATTTGGGGAGCCATGCCCATCATTCCAGGAGGAGGTCCCATCATACCTATAAAAAAATATGTCAATATAAAATGTCAGTTTTATAATTTTTTTAATTTGTAACTTCTTAAAGACTTTTGGCATTGTGTCAATGAAGAGTTGATTTAATTGGATCTTGTATAGTTTCTAGGATGTTATCACCCCTTCTAGTTTGTCAAGATCACTAAAAATTTTGGTACCTATCTAAAGAATCTCGTTTATAAAATATGACACTATTTATCTTATGAAATATATTTGTTTAGTATTTGAATGAAATATGGGAGGCTAACAATTTTTTTTGCTAAAATAAGTGTCTTTCCCTATCATTTCTGGTATTTTGTTGCTCTGAAGTAAGGCCCAAAAATTTAAAAAGATTTTAAGACAAAATTAACAAACACAATAATTGCAGAATGTAGACTAGAAGAAAAGTAGCTGCTTTAAAAAGAACAGCAAAGGCCTGTGGTGCTGATGGGATATAATCAGAAATAGTAATATGGTTAGAGGAATATGGAAGAAAATATTTATTTATTTATTTAATTTCAACAGTAGAACCATTTACAATAAAATACAACAAATAGTAAAACGTAAAGATCATGAACAATAAACATCAAAACAATATCAAAGAAACAAACAGTAAAAATTTGTACATTAAAACAATATATCAAATTACAAAAGTTAAAAAAAAAAAGATCACATATTTAGATTAATTAGACTCCTAAATTGCCTTTTGAAAACATTAATGTTTGGAGAGAATGGATAAAATAGGTTATTGCAAGAGCTGAGCATTTTTAATAAGGGAAAATGACAAGCATAATAGCCCTATCAAAAGGAATATAAAAGTGCAGTGTGTTGCATGTTAAAAATAACATATCAGCTCTCAACCTGGGGTTCTTCAGTGTAGCTATGTTAAATTGAGACATTATTACAGAATAATCTATGACATAATTTTCAGTATTTCTTATATTAAGAGCCTAGGTGCAAAATTTCGGGCCAATGCTTTTTAAATGCATTCATTTTTTTCGAATCCTGGGGAAACTAATAAGTATTTTTGCACAATTTAAATGCAGAATGAAAGAATACATTATTACTGGGGGCCGAAAGTCCCTGAAAACTTATATAATGTTTATTTTAATAAGTTACAGGGGTAAAAAAGAAAACAAAATTTAGTGTGATTCTTAATTTCAAATATCTCATTCAAAAAAACTTTTTGTTTATTCTAAGGGACTATTGGCCTTCGGTAATATTGTAATCTTTCATTCCGCATTTAAATTTTTCAAAAATATTTGTTAGTTTTCTCAGGATTCTAAACAAAAAATAAATGCATTTAAAAAGGATTAGCCCGAAATTTTGGGCCTACGCTTTTAATATGTCTTTCTCTGAACGCTGTCTAATGCATCAATGTAGACTTGATGAAATGGGGACCAAACAACAAAGCAATATTCAAAACCTGAGACTTACTATAAATATTTTAGACAAATTTTAAGAGACTTACTATAAATAAAACCAAGATTATGAAATCCTGTTTCCTTAATTTTACGACAATAGCTTCTAAATCTCAATGCACAATCCAATAAGGCATCCAAATCTCTAATCTTAGTAACTGAATCCAAGAGTACATCATTAAGAACACATCTATTAGCTATTAGATTATTTATATGACCAAATGGAGTACAATGATATTTAGTTGGATTTAAGGTTAAACCATTTTGTTTTGACAGTAAACATATATTATTTACCAATTTATCATGTATGCAATGAAATAACTAAGATTATCAGCAAATAGCAGAAAGTGTGAGTTTTTGATAGGCTTACCAATACCGTTAATGAACAAGTTAAAAAACAAGGGACCACAATGAGACCCTTGTGGGACACCAGAACAACAATGAAATTCTTTTGAAATATAATTGTTAATAGGAGAAGAGCCATCCAAATTCTAGACTTTTATAGTCTCGAGCAAAATTTGTGTCAGTTTCTTTAATAATGTCCACAAACAAAGCACAAGTACCACATCGTGTAGCCTACTGTAATATTATTCATTTCTAAATTTTTTTTGTGAAGTTATACAAAAATCACTTAAGTCACTTATTATAAAATAGCATAAAAAGTTTACCTGGCGGTGGTCCTCCCATCCTTGGTGGTCCTTGATTCATTTGTGGAGGAGCAGATACTTGGCCTCTACCTCCTGGTGTCATGACCTGTTGGGATGGCCCTCCCACTCCTCTTACAGGTCCTTGCAGGCCTACAGGTACACCTGCCATGCCTGGTGGCATTCCTCTACCTCCAGCTCTGCCAATTCCTGTAAAAGGTTTTGGTAAAATTTAAAATTCTAAGTATTATTATTACAATTATTGATTATATCAATGAAATTAACCATAAAGTTGAGATCAGAATAATCAATGAACATTTTAGCTACAAATTATTTACACATGTCCTATACTTTATTTTTTACTAATAGATTGATTGTTACATCAACTAATAATATGTCTACAAGAGTATTCGTCTAAATAAAAATAAGTAAAATTGAGGTATAGAACATATTTATAAAACATTGAATAAGGAATGATTTTTTATTGAAGAAATAAACCCTAGATTATTGAGTGTCTTTTTTTAAACCTAAGAGAATAACACTGAAAATACTTTCTCAAAATGAGTTAACAGATTAACTAACAATGGTCATTAATAGGTAATATACTTTGTATTAATATGTTGTTTACTTTATGTATCTTAATTACCTGGTCCTGGGGCTGCGCCAGGAATTGGTACTCTGGGCAAACCTTCTTCTGGAGGGGGAGGACCTTCTATCGTTAAAGAAACTATGCTTTCTCCTCTTAGTAAAACAAATCCTAATACTCGTTTTTCCTCACGTTCAACTTTGGACATTTTTGATTTAATTTTACGAAACTCTTCACAGTCTCCTAATATCATATTCATGTGCTTGTCGAAGGCTTTGAAAGTTCCAATGAAAGTACGGGAGTCTTGCAGAGTTACCCGAACTCTGAAGTTTATGTGTTGTACCATTTTATTATTTTTTCCTATCGTCTAAAAATCAAAGTATAAATCATTAAGATTTCGTTATTTATTTAATGTGAACTTACCATTTTGAATATGCTTTATTTACTGTAATCTTAAATTAATAATAACTAACGTAAGCTTTTGGTTTTTTCAAACATAACCTATTTTTTGTTTTAATAAAACGCCGCTTCCCTGTATAAAACCAGAATAGCCAACTTTCGAACTTTTCGTAACCTATTGTAAATGAAATCTTTTTAAAACCTCTTTAAAATTTTGTCTCTTCAAATTTTAATTATAATTGTTAAATTTTAATTTACAATTTAAAATGAAATGTAAAATCAACAATAAAAATTACTTGTATTTGAAGGAGGAAGTTTTGTAGGAGGAAGTGACGTCATGCATATTATTCTATCAATTATTATTTTTTTATTAAAAGATGATTGTTATAGGGGATGTAATTAAAATTGATCAAATATTCTATTTAATATAAAAGCATATGTTTATTTATTTGTGAACACTAAATAAATTACAGTCTAATTTTATAATTTTTTGTTGGTAATGCGAATGTCATTGGTCAACTGTGATACATCCGGCTGTCTCCCCTGTCGCTCTTTTTCGGTTTCAGTGGAAGCATGACAGGTTTTAGTGAAAAAGTAAGCAATTTTCAAAAGATTTTTAGGATTATAATAAGTTTTAAAATAGTTTTAACTATTCTAGTTTGTTTATCTAAGAATTTGTAAGACATTTGCCATTATAGTTGGTAATAACATAGTTTGTATCATTTTAAAAACTTCCATTGTAACACGTGTTAACAACATTCATTTTATTTTCAGGCCATCCTAATCGATGGCAGAGGCCATTTATTGGGTCGTTTAGCGGCTATCGTGTCCAAAGCACTCCTAGAAGGTAACAAAGTCACAGTAGTAAGATGTGAACAATTAAATATTTCCGGAAATTTTTACAGGTTAGTTATACTTCTATATCAAAATATGGTGGTGTTGTTGATGAATACTCTACTTGCTTTTATTTATATTTTTCAGAAATAAGTTGAAGTTTATGTCATTCCTCCGAAAGAGGTGTAATGTTAACCCAGCTAGGGGACCATTCCACTTCAGAGCTCCCTCAAGAATTTTCTGGAAGACTGTAAGAGGTATGTCATTTGGAGTATTTAAAATAAATTAGAATTGCAACAAGATGTTTCAAGTTATAAATACACTTGTATTGGACTTCTTCAATATTGGTGCAATGAACATAACCTCGTTGTAAGCTTAATATACGTCAGTGTTGCCATATACTCAAATATTTCCCACTCTCACATATAAAATTATTGGCAAGATTTATATTATATGAAATGAAAATGTAAAATTGAAAAATACATATATAATTAAACAAAAATGTGAAAAATATATATATTTTTACCTATACATAGGTATATAATTCATTAAAATTATACCTATAAATATTATAAAATAAAATTATATCTTGCATTTCTACATTTAAAAATACTTATATAATAAAAACCATTATAATTATGCTTAAAAATTAATAGTTTAGAAACTTTATAAATTACAGAATAAAGTAAAGTTAAATGAAAAAAAAATTGGTTAAACAAAAGTATTTAGCTATATTTAAAATAAAAAATACTATTTTATGAATGCTTTTTAATATGAATTCAAAAATTGTGGCTGTGGCGTGTACATTTTTACATTTTACAGAAGTAAAACACTTCACATTTACCTAAGTATATACCTAAATACAAATGTAAAGCATTTTACTTCTGTATAAGTTTTTTAAAGCATATATATAATTTCGTCAAAGTATCTTTCTATTTTAAACACTCCTATACTTTATACAAAAAAAGTGGCAACACTGTGTCACAAAAACATATAGCTGGATGCCAGGTTATGTTCATTGCACCAATATTGAAGAAGTCCCTTGTATTTTTTGTGAATCAAGAATACTCTATAAACTTGTTACTTAGATAATTTATTAATGAAAGTTGAATTGAAACACCTATAACATACTGAATGTCCTGTTACTAGTGCTACAAAACATGTAAAACAGCAAGTCTTGCTAGATATGTATCCAAATGCAGAGTAATTGCCCATTTTAATGTTTGTCCCTATTAATCTAGTATTTATAATGACTCCAGTATATTCTGTTCAACACACAGATTTACTTTTGTGGGTGATACCTTGTACTAATATCACTATTGTGCAAATCCAGTTTCCTCATACTTTCTTTCAGTGCTTAAACTCAACATTTTGTTGTTGGCTTGGCTTGTTTATTGTTTTGTTTTGTAAGCCTTAATTGTTTTTGTTTAATGTGGTTATTGATTTTGAATATTACCTCTTTCCCTACTATACATCATACTATATAGTATGATTTGATTTTATCATAGAATTTGATCCATAGAAATGTATCATGTAGTTCTTTTGAGGTACTTTTTATTTTACATTGTTGTTCTTTAATTTTGATACATAATCAACTCTAAATCATCTAGTACCCAAGATATTTTAGTACCATAAATGTTCCAAAACATAGACATTTTAAAAGATTGGTAAGAAAACCAAAACTTTTATGCACACAAATACATATTCTGAAAGCAGCAATCTTTTATTTTTCCGAAAAGAATTTAAAATCGACTGTTGCAGCCTTGTTATCTTCATATGAATAAATTCTACATGGATTCTATTACCTTTTGGTGGGTTTGCTTAAAACATTATATGTGAGTGATTGGTGAAAATGAAAAATATTAAATTCTTCACATGATTAAAAACATCTTACCTACATTATTTGATAAAGATGAAATGTCTCATTTTTTTTGTATGATTTTCTGTGAAAATTACTCATTTTATTATATTTATAGATCAAATTGTTAATGAAAGATTTTTTCAGGAATGTTACCACACAAATCAGAAAGGGGAAAGCAAGCTCTTCGTAGACTAAAGGCATACGAAGGTATCCCTCCCCCATATGATCGCAGGAAGCGTGTTGTTGTGCCTGGTGCACTTAGAGTAATTTGCCTTAAACCAGGCCGTAAAGTAAGTTTTTTTGTATATTTTTAAAAATACTTGGGTCACACAGAACTTGTAGTTCATAAAGTTGTTAATTACAGTTATTTTTTTATCTGCATTTATATGACATTTAAAGTAAACAATTCTGTAATAGCTGTGTTGTTTTTTGGAAGTGTATTAGTAATATATTTGAAAAACTTAAGGTTGTTCTCGTATATCAATTTTTATTTCTCTACATTAGTTCATCATCGCTGACTTGCAGTAAACAATTTAAGTATTATTGATCTAATTATTATTTTCCTGTCTTTATGACTTGAGATAAAAAAAGTGGTTCAATATGCTAGTGAAGTCTATTTACCTGAGAATTTTTAATGAGACTGTAGTGTTGACTCTGATTACGTTTACAGTTTATTGCATCATATCTGTTAGTATCTTCATTAAAAGATCCCAAATTGATTTAAAAATAAGCTTAGAATAGAATTCTACAACATATTAAAATGTGGGTTTACCAAAAAGATGGTATATTTTTAATAGATCAAGTCATCTTATAGATCTTGTCTACTATTTATGATTTAAAGATCTTTTTCTTTATTATTCTCTCTCCAATGGCAATACAGCCCAAATCGAGCCTTGGCCTCCTCTTAAGTATGCCTTGAACCTTGCCGGTCCCAAGCCAATCTTCTCCAGGTTTTCACATCTAGCAAATTTTGTGTGTCAGCTGCCACTTCATCCTACCACTTTTTCTGTGGTCTTCCTTTTGGTCTTGCACCCTGCATTTTTCTGTCTAGAGCTCTTTTTGGTAATCTTCCAGTCTCCACTACCTGACCATGTTCTTTATTATTGGTTTCAGAAATTTTCATATGTAGAGTTATCTTATAAATATTGAACATGAAGTTTAGAGTTTTTACTATGATTATTTACCTACATTATTTGACATAATGATGATGTAACTTTTTTTAAATGAGTGTAGAACTATTTAATAAAAATTATTCCCTTGTTTTTTTTTTCTGGAATTCAAAACATTTTTATTGTTTCAGTTCTGTCATGTAGGCCGTCTTTCACATGAAGTTGGATGGAAATACCAATCTGTTGTACGTACATTGGAAAGCAAACGTAAAGTTAAGGCTGTATTGGCTATCCGCAAACGTGACAAACTTAAGAAGCTCACACAACAAGCTTCTGAGAAGGTTGCCAAGCAAACTAAACCATTCACAAGTCTTATCAATTCTTATGGTTATAATTAAAGTTTTTATTAATAAATGACTTATAATTTATTTTGAGTTTCATTGATATCGCAATTTTTAAAGGTTTTATTATCTTGAAAATTTTATAAAATTATAAAAACTTACAATCCTTTTAAAAACAACTGGAGAAGAAAAAAAACTCTAAAACATTATCTAAATGTACATATCTTATTAAACATGTTAGTACTAACGTGGAAACACCACATACAATATATGGACAGGTGCAACAAAATCCCAGGGCTATTTTAGCAGACTACAGCCTACTGATAGTACACTATAGCCAGTACAATCTGTATACAGTGATGCTAGCAGACTACAGCCTACTGATTGTGCACTATCGCCAGTACAATCGGTATACAGTGATTCTATGGTAGTAGATATGTCTACTACCATAGAATTTTAAAAATTAAATAAAAGTTCATCAAAACAATTGTTTAAGAAGTTCATCAAAAGTAGACATTGACATACGAAAGTAGTTGTAAAATTTTGATTCACCACCTCGTAAGTAAACTGTAAGCACCCTCTCTGGATCTTTGGGCCATGTGTGGATGCTGCCAATACCTTAGAATCTTCCTTTGACGATAGTACTAATACAACACGACAGCGTCCATCCTTGTAGAATAAACAAAAGGCAGATAATTATTTAATCCCACCGACTACGCATGTAGTGAACGGAATATTTAACGAAAATAAAATAGTACCGGATAGACAATAAATAAATTATTTTTGTAACATTTTTTTTATAATTAAAATATGAAATTATTTTTAATCCCTTTACCCCGGTTGCAGAGACGCCGATGGTTGTATTAGCAAATATGTCTTAAAATAAGGAAGAACCGACTTATTAAAGGCGCCGGTTTTGTTAATCCTTAGCTAATCTTTTTCCGGTTTAAGGCGAGTTTCTGTTTAATACTTAGGCAAACAAAATAGTCGAAAGCATTTTTCTGTAAAAACCTAATCCAAAAGGATTTATATTTCATTACGTTCCTAGCTAGAAGGGTACCGGTATTTTCGATGTCGTTAGAACCTTACCTTCTTAGAAATACATACAGTCTGGCCTGTCGTTTTTGAGTGGGAGATATCTCACCTTATTTTTGGAAGAAGCTTGTGAAATTTGAGGCTGTCTTTGAGTAAGGACTTCTTGCTAGGCGGTTTTTGAGGAAAGACGCTTGTTACCTTACCATCTTTGTGAATTTTTTCTGTAAGTGTGTATACACTTAAATATTTGCATATCTTAATCTAATAACACATTAGATTAAATATTGGTATAGAGTACCTTTTATTTTAAATAACTTCAGTGCTGGATACAAGTATAGTATATAGAATCAGTGTAGTGTAGCAGTCATCGAGAATTACTGTAAGTTATCGTAATCAATTATCTGGGCGAATAATATGGTAATAATATTATCTTCAACTATCTGGGCGAATCAAACATATTTCGCCTTCAATTTAAAGAACATTTAATCTTTTCATACCAACTTTTATTCGGCTATCCAAGAACTTATAATAAATAATTATAACGAACATTTAATTCTCATTATAAGAACAGTAATCATTAAACAACAGTGCAAACAGATAATTAACTTAACCAGTGCGGTTGGTTTAATTTTTATTCCTGTAATCTTTTTGTATCATTTGAATTTAATTTTAATTAATTAACTTTGTGTTATTTGTTATTCATCTTTTTTATTTACTGTACCCATTATCTCGAGATGAGCCAAATAAACAGCAAAGAGAGCTTTCTTCAATCAGTTTGAGTTGAATATTTTTAATCACTATCAGGCTCTCTTCGCTGATACTTTAAACTGTGTATGATTTTATTATATTGTATTTGTCAAGTTATTTCTCAATCATAATACTGTTTATTTTTATGTATACCCCATTTAATAATTGATGGTGTATTTTTATACTTGTGTGTACATTCAGCCGCCTATATCATTGAATATTTGCTTTTTACCTTAAAATATTATTATACCTTTGACCAGAAGAAAAGATCAGGCTGACTAAGTTTCGTACGTAAGTGGGTGGACGGAGTCCACCTAATATATTTATTATTTGTGTAAGTTGTGTTGATCAAATTTATTTAATAATTAACTGTTGATATATTTTCTTGGGTTAGGTCTCTGAACCTAAATATCTTTCCTTATCTCTTTTCGTTTCTAGGATTTCTTAGTTTTCTCCTTTGACCCCAAAAAGTTAAGTGGCGCCATTTTTTATCTTAACTTATCTCTGGTAATTTTACCCATCTATCTTTTTGTTTATTTCTGTATCTTTTCCAATATATCTTATCCTCTCCTATCTTTATTTATTTCGTCCGTTGGACCCATTTCCGGTTGCAAAAGCTAGTTTTGAACCCACGACTCGCTCCGAACCAACCATCTGGCTGCCGTTCGCAGTGTCTCCATTGGTGACCTTTCTAGCACCATCCAAAAAAGGTTTCCGAGGTTACATTTTTATAGATGAGACGTGGTTCGACACATATGACACTCAATCAAAAGTTTGGTTTAACAACAGCAAACACTATGCTACAAAAATACCTTCCAATAAAGGAAATCGCTCTGTTTTGATTTGGCAAAATATTAGTAAATCTTGTAATGAAATGCAAAACCTTTATAAACTAGGTTTTAATATACAAGAAATTAGCATTGTTTTGTTTGAATGAATAACATGACAATTACATATGACATTAACTAAAACTAAGATGACAAATGACAAACACAGTTCACAGACCACAGGACATTCACCCCAACTTTATTTTTGAACAAAGTCTTTAAGGTAAGCAGGAGTGTTTCTTTCCCTGGTACCTCTTCTAATAAGACTGTGTTTATTTTCTTCCTCTAAAACACTTTCAATATGACCTTGATCTTCCAGAATGTTAACAGGAGAAATATTTGGATTTTCCTCACATATACTCAATCTAGGGCTTGGTGGATCTTTGATAAACTGTTCATTAGAAACCGCAGATTCCGATCCACTAACACAGTCCAGAGATGCATCTCCTCGTGGTGCAAGTTGTCTTAAGGCTACTGTTGTTTCTTTACCATCTTCACGTCTAACAACAGCATAGTTTGGATTTGCTTCAATTAGCTGTACTTCTTCAACGAGGGGTTCATATTTGGACTGCCTCACATTTTTTTTCATAAATACTTTTCCGGGGGTTATCAACCATGAAGGAAGTGCAGCTCCATTTATAGCTTTTCTGGAATGATGAAACATTCGCTCATGAGGGGTACTGTTTGTAGATGTACACAAAAGAGAACGAATTGAATGAAGAGCTATCTCAACTACTTCTTCCCACTGTTTCAGTTTTTAAATGTTTAGATTTTAATGCAAGAGAAATAGTTTTACCATATAATTCCATTATATCTTTCTGTCTGGCCATTTCCTTCAGGATTGTAAGATGTTGTTCGGCTTGTTGGTATCCTTGTGAATGGAGAAATGTTTTGACTTCTTGAGACATAAATGCCCCCCTTGGTCTGAATGGATATAACTAGGCATTCCAAATAAAGAGAATAAGTTTGTAAGACACTTCACAACAGTTTTCGCTGAAACATCTTGACATGGATATACAAAGGGGAATCGAGAATATTCATCAATAATTGTTAGGATATATTTGTTATGAGATCTAGATGGAAGCGGTCCTTTAAAATCCAGAGACAATCTTTCAAAAGGCGAAGTAGCTTTAATTAATCTCCCTTGAGTTTTCAAAAACTTTGGTTTTATTTCTGCACAGATAGGACAGCGATTGGTCATTTCACGGACTTCATCAATAGTATATGGTTGTTAAGGTGTGGATTTGGAAAATAAATAGTCGTACTTTACTACTATTATAAAAGGCTTTATTTCCTATAACATACATACTAATTAACTAACCTAACTTAAGCCACCATACTTCTTACTACCACCTACAACTACATGATACTCATTGACATTACTATTATTGTCTGTCATGTCAACCCATGACACTATGGGTGCGTTCCGCTTACTCTTACACCAATATATCTGTGTATACAATATAAATGTATTACATTCTCAACACGCCTCCTTACATTTACATTGTATTTACATTAATTCAAATTTAACATACTTCGAAATTTTTCAAATTTATCTTGGCCCAAGGACTTCGTAAAAATATCTGCAATATTATCATCAGAATCTACTTTAACCACATTTATAACATTTGCTTTAACATAATCATTTACATAATGATAATGAATTTCAACATGCTTAGAATTTTTTGTAAAATTGCCATAATTAGCTATACTAATTGTACCAGTGTTATCTTCATAAACATCAATTGGCTTTATTATTTCAATATCAAATATTTTCAACAATTCTTTTACAAATATCAATTCACTTACTGCTTCTGACAATGCTACATACTCTGCAAAAGTTGAAGCTTTTGTAACGCTTTTTTGTTTTCTAGATTTCCAATAAATTACATTACCAAACAATCTTATTACAAAACCAGTTGTAGACTTTCTATCTAAATGATCACCTGCCCAATCGGCATCCACATAACAATCAATAATACTTACTTTTTCATTTCTGTTATAAAACAATTTTAAATCTTTAGTTAAGCATAAATATTTCAAAATTCGTACAGCATATTTAAAGTGCGTTTCATTATAGCAATTTTGAAATCTACTCAGATAATTTACGCTGAAACTTATATCAGGCCTTGTTGCCGAACTTATGTATAATAGTGCACCAATTAAATTTTTATATTTAATATTTCTTTCACAATGATCAGATTTATCAATTTTTAAATTTACTTCCATAGGTGTATTATACAGTTTACCTTTTTCTAAATTATATTTTTTCCTTAATAATTCAATATATTTATTTTGATCCAATCTCATTTCATGTTTACTAGAATCATAATCAACAGTAATACCAAGATATTCTTTAATTTCACCAATATCTTTCATTTTAAATTTTTCTGATAATAAAATTTTAATCCTTTTAATTTCATTTAAATTTCTACCACAAATCAATAAATCATCGACATAAATTAATAAGTAAATAATAT